TGAGCAGATCTTTACCGTGATTTGTTCAGTCAGAACGAGGATCCAGTGGTGCAAGGATGTATTGCAGTGACGCTTTCAATACTTTGACAGCAAGGTTTGCGGTGTAATCGATTCGATATACTCATGCTTCGTAGTTATGGAAGTTGTCGATAGCGTTTTCACTCGTATATACTTGTGTATATAAATGCTTTGTACTCATTGTCAATGGTATGTGAATCTATGTACCCGAGTTCGAATTTATTTTTTTTCTCATAGGTGACTTCGCGTATGCAATTATGTCCTCAGAGTCATGCCTTCACACATACCCTTCAATATTGCTACCACACTGACTTGACCATGAAACCCTTTTTCCACTTTTCGCCTGTGACTTGGCCTTGAGTTACATGTGACGTCCATGACCGTGAAAATGAGATGCGGAGTTCGAAACTTATTACCACTCTACTTTGACCTTGATGATGATAAATGACCTTGAGCTATGTGCACGTCATATTACCTTGAAGAACCTAAACGATATTGAGTTATGAGCACTTTGGGGACGAAGTTTGGCCTTGACGATCAACTTTGTCTTCGATACATGACCTTGAGCTAAGGCTACATCATATAATCTTGAACGTATAGAAGGTGTAACTTTGACCACCACTTTTGTTCCTGAAGATCTCTTCATAAGCAGGGAGTTTCTTGCTTTCACATTCAGCCTAGATCATCTAAAATATTCGAATGGGAATTAAAATGTCTTACGCCAATGCAGGTACATTCAATATTCTCTTTAAACAAAAGCCATTTGTTTTACATCATCTTAGTCAAAAATCTCAATAGGAAGTGCTACTCTTTTGAACTTTGCCATCGACGTGCACCACTTATACTATTAAAAACTGTCAAAATTACTATTACACATTATCATAACATGTTAGTTAACAAAGTCGCTGTCACTGTGTGTTATTAACTACTCACTCACTTTTTCTTTGACAAAGAAAAATGAACCACATTGTTTCTTTGAAAGTTGATATTTTGTTGGTTCTAGTAACAACTTCCTCATTACTCTGAATGACAATTCTTTATCTGTTCTTTGAGGGGAGGATCAACCGTCAGATTATATTAATGTATTTTCCGGGTTTATTGAAGTCAACTTTTCCATCAGACCTTTTGTAGCCATTAGTCAACAATGACATATTTTCATACTGTATGAAATCTTGTTCAGTGAACCCTTCATGTTAACATTTAGTGAGAAGTTGTTTCAAACTATCAGTTGATTTGAATGCGTTTTCATCAATTTCCAAAACATTTTCTTCAATCGAAAGAATTTTCTTTCTAGGTTATATCCACTATAACATTCAAAATAAATTTTGAATATTACAATTCACGAGTATGATTCAGAAAAGAAGAAAAGTGACCCATCTACCACTCTTGACGTCACATGATCTTGAGTCCCACGTGATATGGCTTGAGCATAACCGTAGACATGCAAGGGGGCCCTTACTCGCACATTCAGTTTAGATAACCTAATTTATTCGCAAAGTGAATTCATTCAAAGCCAAATTTCATTTCATATATGAGTCAAAGTTCTCAGGATTATCTTGGTACCAAGACCCGCTCGTTGGTAAAATTCGATATTTCAAATTCGAGATATTGAGTGTTTCTTCAATTTCATTGTGAAAAGTGAAAATATAGTACATTTATATATATTCATTAGCTCTCTTGATTCAAACAGGGTCAAATTTCAAGTGAGTGCTTTTTTGTCCTTTCAAAACATAACCTACACACTAATAAATGCAATTTGTATATTTTCAGAGTTATTTCTCCTCCTTCAAATATGTGGATGCACTATTTAGCTGAATATTAGGCGGAAGCAGTGAATTTGAATTCTACTATCAGAAGGGCGGCATGGAAATTACCCGATCTGAATTTGGATGACTCATATTCATCAAATTATGATTTGAGTGTATGTTTTGATGCTCAAGAGGTGCTGTGAGTTTGGTATGGCGATATGTCACAAACATTTGTATGGAACCTAAAATTTGGATGAATTTTGTGAGCTGATGATCAAAGCAGACTTGATGTCAGACTTGATGTAATTCCTCTTCAACATATACTCCTCCTACCTACCGCATAATATCATGGCGAAATATCAATTAGATCATGGGATTCAAACTCACAGGAGGAAGCACAACATGTGGGAGACGGAGGAAGTAAGTTATGAATTATGACATTGTGAATAATTGAAATATGTTTTATAAATGATACG